CGCCGAGCAGGGAGCCCGATGTGGGACTCGATCCCAGGACCCTGGGATCATGACCTGAGCCGAAGGCAGATGCTTAACGACTGAGCCACCCAGGCACCCAGACAAATATTCATATTGGTTTGAAAATACTATCACCTGGGTTTTCTGAGATAACCTTGGATTCTTTCTTCTCTTCTGCCTTCTCGGGTCTCTGCAGGAGAGGCTAAGGCCGTGAGTCCCAGTGTTCCACTTCTCCTTCAGATCAGCTCGCTGGTGCTGCGGTCGCCTCATTTTTCCTGGCTTTTAGAAAATCCAGTCTCCCATTTTTCTATTCTCGCTAGCCCTCATGCTTCCACCCTTGTGGCTTCTGGTCCCCAAACTCTAAAGCCATTTTACGCCTTTTTTTTTCCGCTTTCCTTCAACAAGCCCTAGATACCATTCTGTAAGCCTTACTTTTTAGTAAATAGGATTATACTCGTTTTTATCCTAACATAACGAGGCCATATAGATTTTCCATTCTATTCTGAACTTTTGCGAACCAAACTCTGGGCAGGTCTTGAAACCGTAGGAAAGATCTGTGGCAGTCCCTGGTCTCCAGTGACTACGCGTGCCTGTTTCTCCTCAGGCCCCTCCAGGCAACAGAGAGGGGATGCCTCTTCATCCCAGGAAGAAAGCCTGCAGCTGAACAGCATCCCCCCCTCACCCACCCTCACCTCCACAGCGGTGAAGAGGGCGCAGCCCCTGAGGGGGTTGGAAGAAGTGGAGGAAGAAGGCAGCTCAGAACCGGAGCTTACCCAAGGGTGAGGGCCGAGGGCAGCAGCATCCGGGCATCTGGTCTTGGTGTCTGGCTGCCTCCATCCTGCCATTTCTGTTCTCTTGTTCCTCCTGTGGCACTCCATCCCTCTCGGGTTCGTCCCTGCACCTTTCCCATTTTCTTAGCTTGGGATTTTCTTTTTCCCTACACGTTTTTCTCATGTAACATTGCCCACCATCCCCTTTTTACCCTTTACTTTTACCCCCATCCCTGATCCTACTTCATTCCCAACAGCCAGCCCCTTTCAGGTAACCAGAGGTCAAGGTTCTCGAGTCCACAGCATTTCCGGACTCTGCTCAACCCTTCAGGTCCTGGTTTGGGCACCCGGCTGACCCGGTGAGCTTCTCATCGTCTTCATCCTCACTTCACATTTGGCGGCCACTGTGAGGGGTTCTCCCGTGACCCACTGCTTCTGTGCCCATACTTTTTGGACATGTTTAAATCACAGACCACTTCCTTCCAGGATAGTGTGTGCCCCCGGCTTGTAGAACTGACAGGAGGAGAGCTGCTCTGATGGAAGCAGCAGCGGGAACCTGGAGCCCGCTCCCTGCATGCCCATCCCCGCTCCCCCGGGTGCCTCCCAGGGACTCTCAGGGCTCGTCTGTAAGCAGCAGTGTAAGAGCCTCTGCCCTTTGCTCCTGCCCTCAGCCTCAGCCTTATGGAAGAGGATGAAGAAGAGTTGGAAAGTCACAATGAGTTAAGTGAAGGATGGCAAGATACAGACAAGGTGAGTAGACCCGACATTCCCTTCTCCCTTTAGAACTAGAGGTAACTATGATAGAGAAGCTAGAATGATTCTCCTCTGTTGTCCTGACGATGCCCTTTCTCTGAAAGCTGCTGAGGATTTTTTTTAAAGAATCACAGAGTAAAGGAGGGAGATTTGTAAGTTGCTTTGTACTTTGCTTGGACTTCTATTAAAGAAGGGAGGGAAAACAAAAATACCAAAAAGGACTCGGATAACCTTCCCTCCCTCAATCCCCATATAAGTATTTTGCCTCTGAGCCTAAGAGTTGAAAGGAGTCCCAGAGCTAGAGACGATGGATGGTCCCCTGGTCCCACCGTTCCTCCCCCTCCCCCCAGTTCCTCCACTCACTCCGTTTCCCACCCTGGCCCACCTGCTTCCTCAGGAGCAAATAGCTCCAGGCCAGTAGGAGCACATGGAAGCTGTGAGGTGATCTGAGTCCTCAGCTCTACCGCTTTGTCAAGTTAGCTTCTCTTAACTCCTCAACCTCTTCATCTTTCAAATGGAGCTTGTAAACTGAGAAGGGTTATGTGTCCGCTGCTGTTACTCTCCTCCCTTCTCTGCTCTTTGTGGGGGAAAGAAAGGGCAGAATACTGCAGGGGAATGGAGGGTCTTGTACTCAGAAGCACAAAAACAAGGACGTCTTCAAACAGACTAGAGAGCAAGGCCTCTATTAAAATGGTCTTTCTTAGGTGCCTCCTTAGCGCAGTAGGCAGCGCATCAGTCTCATAAAATGGTCTTTCCTGAAGTTCCCTCAGGAAAAATGCCATTCTCTGGTTCCAAACTGAACAAATTTAAGGGCCTCAGTTGGCAAGCCAGGAGAGGAGGCACCTCTAGGTCTGAACCTTCGCCCACCGTCCCTTTGCTGGTCTCCCCTCCCTGGCTGCTGCAGGGACCCAGCTTGGAAAGGGCCCTTGGTTATTGTTTGCCATGTGACGGACTGACTTCTGCCCGCTCTCTCTAGCACTCTTCTCCCAGCGAGCACGGGCTGGACCTCTTAGATTCTACAGAGCTGAACCTTGAGGTGAGTGTCCCCACACAAGATTGTGGAAGGCAGTTTAGAGGAGTTGTGTCCTTGGGAGGTGTTGTAGGTAATCTCTGTCCTATGTAGTAGGCGGAAAGATAGGCCATAGCCCGTGGCCGGTCCTCTCCGCTGTTTTTGGAACCTTAGGAGTAGCTGTGGGGGGAGGGTAGGAGGAGAACTAGAATGGTTACCTGGGGGAGCTCACTGTCATCTCTTTGCCCTTTGGGCTGTTTTGTCTCTGTGTTTTCATCTTTCCCCTTACAGGATTTCTGACAGGACTCTGTGCCCCTCCCACCTCCACTCCCCACCTCAACTTGGAAAAGGCAAATAGGAGAAGAGAGCAGAAGGAACCATTACTTCCAGGCCCCACCCTGGTCTTTGAAGGGAAGGAGAGTGGGCTGTGCCTTCCTAACCTAACCTAACCTTTCTCTGATGATGTTGGGCTAGAGAAGCCTTAGGCCCCCTGTCCTTCTTAATGCTCCCCGGCTCCGTCCCGGTGTTGAGTGCCTTTTTCCTGCTGTGTCTGGAGTGGGTGGGGGCTTTACCTCAGTATGGGAGAGGCGCTGGCTCCCTGTGCTGAATGGAAAGAGCCCAACAGTTTCCTGTATTTTGGGAACAGTTTTCCCAGCCTCTTTTGTACCCTAGTGATTAGCTCAATAAACATGTTTCAAGCAGCTGGTTCCTGGGTTGTGGCTTGAGATTGTTAAACTAATGCCCATCAGGTTCTTTGCTGGTGTCTTAAGCGGCTCTGCCTCGCTCGCCCCATGGCCCAGTGTCCAGACAGATGCCGGCCTTTCACGTGCCCCCAAGTGCTTTCATGTATTGGCTCGAGGCTGCTCAGTAACTGGGACACATGGTGAGGCAGAGGAACTGGGAAGACACTGGTTACCTTTCAGTAGTTTCTCTAGAGAGCACCGAGGAGGGCAGGCAGAATCCCTGATGGCTGGAGCGTGGCCTCTCTCACCTACACTGAGAATAGACCATACACCTTGGCAGCCTTCACCCAAGGGTTCTTTCCAGGGGGAGGTTCGTGAATTCATCCCCAAGACACCTATTATAACTTGAAATTGTATAGAATCTCAGTGTCTGAGTTAGGAGGAAACTTAGAAAAGGGGCTCCAAATGTCCAACCCCAAAATCCAAGACTTCGATGCTGCCTTCTCCTTTAATCTTGCCTTCCCCAGCTGGTTCCTCACCAAGTCCTGTCATGTCATTCTGCAGAATCTCTCTCATCTGTCAGTCTCTTCGCTCAGTGCAGCCATCATCTCTCAGGCCACCTCTGGAAACCTTCCTCCTTCAAACTCTTTTGTTCTCGTTCTGCTTCTTAAAAGAGCACAGCACCTCTGCTCTCTCTTTGCCCCCTGACAAGCACGCAGATATGTGAAGACACTCTCGTCACTTTCTACTTTGACTGTTTAAGCCCTTCAGCCTCCTCCCTGTCCTGGGCATCTGCTTTAACTCCAGGTTCTCACTGTGGTCTCCCAAGCTGGATACAGCCAATCGGCTGGTGGTCTGTGCAAAAGGAATCCTGACTTCCCGTGATCTGGTCACTCAGCCAAACTCATTTCTTCCTTCTCCTCCCTTCCTCTCCAGCACCCTCTCCCCCAGATAGACGCTAAAGGTGGATTTAGGAGTCTCTTTGGAAAGGCAGCTGACCTACTCAGAGATCTTGAATCTGTATTAAGGGGGAACAGGTCCAGGGAAAGAAGCCCTTCCTATGGGATCTGGGAATGGAGTGGAAGACTAAGGTGAACATAGGAGGTCACTAAGGATCCAGGAGGAGAAAGATTCCCAAGTTATTTAAATACCAGCCAAGCTGAGGGTACTTCACAAGATCAAAAGAAAAACTCGGCAGCTCTGTAAATATGGAGATCTTTATGCATCCAGATGGTGCAGGGTGGTGAATTGAGCCTCAACCTTAGAATATTTACAAGTTTTATATCATGCTCCCCAAATTGTTTAACACTCTTTATGGAGGGGGTGGGTCTAGATCCTCTCCCCTGGAATATGGGCTCTGTGATTGCTTAATAGAATATGGTGGACTGATGCTGTGCCAGTTTCTGAACGCTGAATTAAACTAGCAGTTTCCAACATCCTGTTTCTTGACCTGTTCACTCTTGGAGCCCAGTCACCAGGCTGTGAGACAGCCCCAAGCAGGCACATGGAAAGGCAATGTTTGGGGGTCCAGCTAGCAGCCCTAGCTGAAGTCCCAGCCTATGTCCAGTATCAACCACCAGACGTGCTTCAGATATGAACCAGATGATTGTAACGCCCCAGGCCTCATCTTTTCTGTGCCTTTTCCAGATTCCTGACCCATAGAATCTATGAGCACTATAAAATGTTTACACTTAATTTGGGGTGGTTTGTTACATAGCACTAGTAATTAAAAGAGAACCTTAGAGTCCTAAGACTCCAAAAGTTTGGGCATGTCTGTCAGTTAAAAGAATTAATAAACATTTACCAGTTTTTTTTAAAGATTTTATTTGACAATGAGAGAACGTGCACACGAGTGAGCACAAACAAGGGGAGATGCAGAGGGAGAGGGAGAAACAGGTTCCCCAGTGAGCAGGGAGCCCAATGTGGGGTTCGATCCCAGGACCTTGAGATCATGACCCGAGCCGAAGGCAGACCCTTAACTGAGCCATCCAGGCGCCCTTATTTATTATACACGTTAAAAATGTAATGGGTGGGGTGCTTGGGTAGCTCAGTCAGTTAAGCATCGACTCTTTATTTCAGCTCAGGTCATGAGCTCAGGGTTGTGAGATCGAGCCCTGAGTTGGACTCCATGCTGAGCGTGGAACCTGCTTAAGGTTCTCCCTCTCCCTCTGCCCTTCCGTCCACCCACCCCCCTGCATGTGCTCACTCTCTTGCTCTCTCTCTTGCTCTTTCAAAAAACAAAAAACCAACCCAAAAGTAATGGGTGAGTTAATGAAATGTTTTGAAATATTTTATTAATAGTACAAAATACCTTTTTGCTCTAAAAAGCAAAGTGAGAAACATTTTTTAAATCATAGTCTAATGTTTTCTGAGGTTCTTGTTGAAAGTTCAGTTTATTTTGGTAATTATTTTTTATGGTCTACATAACAGAGGAGTACCTCTCAAAACCTTGTAAATCCAAATGGAATAGGTGCTTCTTTGGCTGCATTTACTGGTTTTTGTTTTTGTTTTTTAATAGATGAGCCAAAACCCCCTAAATTTTTTCACTTGGAAGACTTAAACAGGTCAGAAAATGATTTCCAGTACAGTGACCGTGTGTTTAGAGGGCATATGCATGGTTAGGATACAAAACCCACTGCATCTTCGAGCATGTAGACTGCAGGCCAGCAGCAGCTTTGGGTTTGTGTCTTACTTTAGGACGCTGATCTGATTGGAGGTGAACACTGGGATCCCAGTGAGAGCACCAGTGTCACTTAGTGGTAATAAAAGTTACCTTCATTGTATTCTTATCTTTAAAAATGAGAAATGTTGGTCAGTTTGTCCTGCATGACAGCAGTTGATACCTTGTGTACCACCTGAGGTTCAAACACCGCCCCCCCCCGAAAACCACAGCTCTAGGGGATGTCGTGCCAGCAAACGTCTTGCTAACAGAGGCGGGGCCGTGGGCTTCAGAGCAACAGCCCTGAGTGGCCAGGCCCCAGCCAAGCTGGACCCGGAGTGGAGGCCTGCTTGGGTAAGAGAGGTGGAGGCCTCTGCACAGGCTGACCTTACCTGGGTTGACAGGTGACACCGAGCAGTGCTTTTCAGGGGACTGGCACTGCTGTGCATTGCCTGTTAGCTTATTGTCGAATAATAGCTTTTTTTTTTTTTTAAAGATTTCAGAGAGCAAATGCATGCACACACACACACACACACACACACGAGCTTAGGGGCAGGGTGCAGAGAGAAGCAGACTCCCAGCTGAGTGGGGAGCCCGATCCCAGAACCTGGGATCATGACCTTAGCCGAAGGCAGACGCTTAACGACTGAGCCACCCAGGTGCCCCCCCGCAAATAATAGCTTTTAAATGATTTTAAATCATCTTCAATTAAGGCTTTTTCTTTTTTAACCTTTGTTGTGGCCAGGAGCTGCACCAGAAGGTGAGTTGGTGGTGGTCTCTCCTAAATTATAAAGTGAAGAGATTTTTTTTCAGATGGCTGAGGAGAAAAGTCTTCGGCTAACAGGTAAGTCATCCTGTGTTTTGAATTCCAGGCAGCACTGACTGGGGATGTTACAGGATGAAAAGAGTGTTCTTGGATGGCACGAGAGGATAAGGGAGCAGGACGGGGGAAGGTTTATTTTCACGCATAGACATTCTGAAGTCTTCCCTGAGCTCTGTAGTTCCTTCCCTGGGGTAGGGTGGAACACAAGACCTGGAAAGGACCCACACAACAAGTCTTCCTTGAGCACAGATTCCCTGTGAGCCCTGTGTGTGGAGTTGGGCTGGCTGGAGATGTAGGCACTGAAAGAGGGGGGTCAGACGAGAGCAGAGCATAGAGGAGTGGCCCACCCGCCGGAGGAACCCTGGGGCACTCGGGAAGACGAAGGAACATACATCAACTTTAATGCAGTAGAGAGCCAGCCAAGGGATGGAGTGGGGGAGCAGGAGCTGAAGGATAAAGCATCTCCTCTCGGCACAGAAGCAGCTCCCATCGGGATGGGGGGCAAGCCCAGCCTCGGAACTGAGCACAGGTTATCCACGGATGGGGCAGAGGATTGCTGGATTTTGATCAAAACCTTGTCATTTAACATTTTTAAATGTGGGAGAGACAACTCAGCATAGTTGTAATAGTGTGGGTTCTGGGGCAAAAATTTTTGTCAAATCCTGGCTTCAATGTGTACTAGCCTTGCGACCCTGGGCAGGTTACGTCCTCATAAGGTCACTGTAAGTATGGAACGGATCTGTGGGACTTGCTCAGAGTAAACTTAGCGCATAGTGTACACCTTGATGTTACCTCTTATTGTTACTTTGATAGGGAACATAAATGGCCATTTCACGACATTTAAGATATTTGTGAAAATGATCAGGAGTCTCACTCTACAAACTCAGGTGAGGAAGGTCTCTCATAAAATGATGGTCACCAGGGGCACCTGACTGGCTCAGTCCGTGGAGCGTGTGACTCCTGATCTCAGGGCTGTGAGCAAGAGCACCATGTTGGGTGTGGAGATTATTTAAAAATAAAATCTTAAAAAAAAAAAAAATCTGGTCACCAACATTCACTGAGGGCTGGAGCCAGGCGTGAGTGCAGCACCACGAGCTGTGAAGCAAAGTGTCGTCCCTGCTGGGATATTGCTGCTTTAGGTTGCTTTGTCTAAGCTTGCACAGCTATGAAATTATGGCACCACTCCAACCCCCACGGGCCTGATTCTAGAGACTGATGCCGGAGGATATATTACTGCAGCAGGACGTGAGCTGGGTGTGGCTGCAGGGACTTCACTGAGAAAGGTCAGAGCTGGAAGTGGCCATTATCAGACCTGGGTCATCTACTGTGTGTCTCTGTACCAAAAAGGGTAGAGGCCCAGCAATGCAGGCCTGATGATGCAGGGCTTTTGTTGGCAGGTTTAATGACCTTCTGTGTCTCTGGAGCTCAGAATTCTGGAGATTGTGCAGGAATAGCCAAGAAAGTTTTGAGAAAGGGCAAGGGTCATCAGATCAAAACAAAAGCATTCTACTTAGGACCTTGTGGTATTGAAACAGAAATAAGCAAATGAATCAACAGATAGATTAGGAAAGAGAACCAGAAGTATATCATTTGTAAGAATTTATGATCAAGATGGCATTTCAAAACAGGTAAAGACACTTTGGGGACATTGGCTCTCCACCTGAAAGGTTACACTATTTTATACCATCCCCAAATTAAATTATTTAGGGGCTAAAAGGAAACCCTTCCTAGAGTTTGGGATAAAACAAAACTTACAATGTTTCCAGAAATGATAAAATATGGACAGTCTGAACCTCCTGAAAAAATGGGGAGGGGAATGGGAATGACAGGGAAAGTGAAAGAACTTTGATGTTTTCTATGTTTTAAATCGTCTACAATGAGAACTGAGGGGACAGTGTGGCTTAGAAGACAAAATGGAAGATGGTGAGTAGTTGTGCCATTGCTTTTTGTCCCATCGACCACCAAGTATTGCTCTCCCCTTGTGTGATTGGGCTCTGAAAGCCAGCCCTCCCTCCAGGGCTTAGAGTCAGCCCCGGAGGACTGGCCCCCAGGCAGCCACCGCCCAGGGCCCACCGTCTATGCAGTGGTTGTTCGAGGGAAATGTTCACTCAGGGACAACTTCCCAGAGGTGGTGGGAGTTGGGCCTCGCAACGTGGGGAGGATTTCAGTGGGTGGGAGGAGGGCTTCCAGGATGGGGAGGCTGAGGGTCCATATGCCCTTGTGCTCTGCCTCCACACTGAGCTGGGCTCCCACCCTGTCAGGGGAACAGTAGTGGAAGAAGTGACAGCAGGTCTGAGTCAGGTTTGGAGATTGGCCCATCGGATCTGAGTGAAGGTCACCGGGTTGAGAGGACGCTCACTGGGCTGGGAGCAGTGAAGTGATTGACCTGGAGGCCCTGCTTTTCTAGGTTTTCAGGCGTGGATGGGATGAGAGTCTGCCCAAGAGACGGATTTGGTTTTTGGCTAACATAGGATTAAACGCACCGTAACGGGCAGGGACAGGGCCACAGCTCTGTTCTGACCACACCTTGGACAAAAAGTCCTCAGCACAGGCCCTTGGCTCTAACCCTGAGCTCACCAAGCTCTTCTCACCCCACACAAAAGCTTGGCACAGGAGAGGACAAGATGCAAATCATTCTGATCACAGCATTCTGGTTGCTCTGTGTTCTATAAACGAACAGAAGCCAGAAAGCAATTTGGAGCAATACTTCGTGGAAAGAGACAGCTTGAGACAGGGAGGCGGCGGAAGGAGTGGGACAAAGGGCTCGGGTGGTCAGGATGGGAAGCCCTTGGGGTTTCCTGACAGGCTGGAGATGAAAGAGAAGAGCCAAAGAGGACTATGCCTCTGGCCCAACAGCTGGAAGCCCCTATGCCCTCCACTGTTGGGGGGAGGCTGCAGATGGGACAGAGCTCAGTTTGGGGGACGTTTGTGACAGGCATCCAAGAGGCAACGCTAAGTGGGCCGCCGGACATGATGAAGCTGTGGTTCAGGAGGGAGGTGTGAGCTAGAGATCCACAGATGAGTCAAGCTGGGCGGCTCTCAGGTAGCCCCCTGCTGGCTTTCCTGCTAAGGATCTTCCTTCTTGCCAAATTCCTGTACATTCCCCAGCCCTTAGCTGGGGGGCGGGGGCCAGAGGCTTCTTCCTGAGAGACCAGGGAGCCCTGGTTCTCCGTCTCAACCGCCTCGTACTTCCCAGGGCCTGGCCTGCCCAGGCGGTTACTTGGAGACAGGGCTGGGAAAGGAACCTGAGCCCGCTGCCCCGCTCGCGTGCAGCGCAGCCTCGGTACAGGGAAAACCTGGTTGCTGTGGCTTTACGTCTCTCAAGACAGGGGGTCCGTTGCCCTGTGTTCACCAAGCCGAGGCAGACAGAGGAGGAAGTGGGGCAGGGGCGTGGAGAACACTGAGCGCAGCTGCTCCCCGGGCCTGCTCACACATGAAAACTTCCTGCGATGAGAACGGAAGCACAGGTGCTGTCCCCACCACGACAGCTCCCAGAGCTGGGGCCAGAGGGAAGCCATGGACAGGCCTCGGGCCCCGGTCCTGCTCTTGGCGCTGCTGACACTCTGCATCACTGCTGGTGAGTTGGGGGCGGAGAGAAGCGGAAGACATGGGGGTCAGGTGGAGACCCAGCCCTGGGGTGCTCCTATGTCTCTATCCCACAGGGACCCCTGAAGTGTGGGTGCAAGTTCAGATGGAGGCCACCAAGTCCCCGTCCTTCACTGTCCGCTGTGGATTCCTGGGATCTGGCTCTGTCTCCCTAGTGACCGTGAGCTCTGGGGGGCCTGATGGTGCCGGAGGGACTAGGCTGGCTGTTTTGCACCCAGAATTCGGCATCCAGCAGTGGCCCCCTGCCTGCCAGGCCGACTGGGAAACCAAAACCAGCATCTCCCTCACCGTGAAAGAAGGATCTGCGGGGAGAAGCCCCAGTCCCAACACCACCTTCTGCTGCAAGTTTGTTTCCTTTCCTGAGGGCTCCCAGGAGGCCTGTGGGAACCTCTTCCTCAGCACAGACCAAGGTGGGGCTCAGGAGAGGGGGGCAGGGAGGGAGGAAGGGCACCAGCCACCCGTCTGGTACGCCTCTTTGTCTATACACAGGGCTCCCTGCCCCTACTCCAGCTCCCATACTGCGGGCTGACCTGGCCGGGATCTTTGGGGTGTCGGGGGTCCTCCTCTTTGGCTGTGTTTACCTCCTCCACCTCCTGCATCGGCAGAGGCACTGGTGAGACCCAACCCCTGTCGGGCCCAGTCTAAACCCCAGCACCGGTGGGCTAGCCACTTGCTTTGCTTCTAACCCGCCTCACTCTGCCAGGTCCGTCATGAAGGTCCAGCCCTGCCTCGCCAGTCCCCAGACACAGCCGCGAGCAAGGGTGAGGACTGGGGGCGTGTTTGGGAGTGGGGAACAGAGGAGGCTGCAGCTGGGGGCGGGGCGGGTCCTGTGAGGTAGAGCCTAACTTGGGCCTCCTTCCCCCTCATGCCTGCAGGGGGCTGGTCAAGCCTCCCTGGTCTCTCTGCAGGCCCCCTACACCACCGTCAATACCAGCTGCTACGGCCCGGCAACTCTGGACACGGTCCTCCCGCCCCGGCCGCTGTCCCGGTGGGCGGCACTGCCCGCCCACACAGCCTGCCCGCCCCAGCCGCCCGCCCGCTGGGCACCCCTGCCAGCCTCCGCACGCGACAGTTTCATCTCCATGGAGAACGGACTTTATGCTCAGGCGGGAGAGAGGTCTTTCCAAGCCGGCCCCAACCTCGTCCCTTTCCCGGACTCTCTGGGGCACAGAGCCGTGGAGGGGCATTTAGGAGTTCGATGAGAGGGACCCCAAGTCCGCTTGGGCCTCCTCTCCTCTCAGATCTCTGGGACCCGCTTGTGGTGTCTGTGTCCTGGGGGCGCATAATCTTTGCACATCTTATTTTATTCTTAGGCCTGCATAAGTGTCTCCACACATACTTGGCCGAGGCCCCCTTGCTGCGGATGTGGTCAGCACGTGTGCACGTGTGGGCACGTGTGGGCACACATGTGTCTACGTGAGGTGACAAAATCCCATCCCAGGTTGTTTCCTGTTTTCAAGTCCCCAGTCCTCACAGGTGATGTTGATAAGTAAAAAAAAAAAAAAAAATGGTTTCTGACTGGGGCCTTGGCTGGACCTTTTCTTCTTTAAGGGTTAAGAAGTTAGAGGCAGTTTCAACCCCTGGGAGGCAGGGGCCAGGTTCGACTTCGATGGGGATAGGCCTCAGCCTGGGAGGTCTCCCACCTGCCCGCTCCCCCCCCCCCGAGAGTCCTGGCCCTGTAGACCTTGCTGAGACACCAGGGGCTGGGAAGACAAGACTGGGGCGGGGGCTGATGGCAGGATGATCCATACTCAATTCTTGCCACATCGTAGGACAGTAGCAAGGGCTCCTGGGTCTTCAACCCGAGAAAAGCATCCTTGGGGCATCCATGTCAGGCTCTCTGAGGTGGTCTGCGGAGGGGGTCCTGCTGCCTGCCTTCCACCGACTTCATAGGTGGGAAGTTCACCTCAAGTCAGCCCACAGTAGCTTCCTCCGGCTCCTCTCATTGCTGGGGCACCCGCACTATTCCCCACTGGTTGCTCGCGGGGTAGGTAGAGGCCCGGCCAGCAGAGGGACCAAACACACACTCCCCTACCCACTAATCTTCCCCTCTCGGAGCCAGCCCTCCGGTAAACAGGGCGAGCAGCCTGGGCCTCATCAAACCTTTGCCATAGGAGAATGTGGTGAGAGCTGTGACGGCTGCAAGGCTCCATAGGAACATGGCAGATTCTGGGGGGCAGGGGGCAGAACGGTCCTGGAGCCAGGCTCAGACCGCACCTCCAACCAGGATGAATACCAGCATGGGGGAGGAGACACCAGCCACTCCATCCCTTCCTTGGTTCTGCTTGTGGGAAATCCCAGGCAGAGCCACCTGCCAAGCCAGGAACCAGCCCCTCTGCCCGGCTGAGGGAGGGCCTGCCCAGAGCGGTGTCCAACCCCAGAACCTTTCAGAAACCCAGTTTGCTATTCTAGGCATGCTCTAATGGGGCCTTCCCAAGACCCAGCACCGCCCAGCCGCTGGCTCTGCAGCACTGGGGAGAGGGTGGGCCAGGCAGAGTGAGGGAGTGGTTAAGGGCCTGTCTTCCTCAGCCAGTGATCCTCCTCCTCCTCTCAGAAGCCCTCAGCACTGACCTGATCAGCTCAATGGTCCCTGCAGGGCTGAGGGCTCAAGAGAGAGGTGGGGGGGGCGGGGTTTGCGGAGGTCCCTGGGGAGGGTCAGGGAGACGTGAGAGGGGGAGTAGATCAGGGCCCAGCTGCCTTAGGACCATGTCAGGGACAGGGGTGGGGGGGGGCAATGGGGCTTGCAGGGTCTCAGGGGAGGCCTTGGGGGGCTCCCCCAGGAACCCTTGCTTCTCTAGAAAGGGAATGTTTGTCAGACAAATGAGGGAGCTCTGAGGGATCCCTGGCCTGAACCTGGCTCCACCCCTGAGCCACTTGCCCATCTTGGAGTCAGGGAGGGCCCCCCAGACTCAAGCCTGTCTTCGAGTCAGGCTGGCCAGCCCCGCATCCCGGAACCAGCAGCAGCACTGAAGGGTCCGGCTGGGCGAGCGGAGTTGTGGCTCCACAGCCACAACCTTGGAGATCATGCTCTGCTCTTTGTTCATTCCACACCTGTGGCAATTGAGGCCCGAGAGAGAGAGGACTTGCCCAAGGGGACAGAACTGAACCAGCCCCCTTACCCCACCAGGCATCCAGGACATGCCCTCTGCCTTGATCGGAGCTAAGGCTTGGGCTTTGGACTCCCCCTGAGTTTGAACTCCAGGGGTCACTCCCCGGCTGTGAGACCCCCAGCAGCTTAACTCCTCCGAGGCTCGCTTTGCTCATCGCGTGCATAAGGGGGGTCATAAGGCCGAGGGGAGTGTGAAGATTGTAAACCAGGACGAAGCAACTTTGCACGGACTATCTTGCTTAGGACTTAACCTCAAGCGGTAGGTAATCTCAGGAAGTTCATTTACCAGATGTGGTGCCCGAGCCCGGGTCACTGAGCTGGAGGGCAGAGGTGCTTTCAGCAGGGAGCAAAGGAGACACAGTGCCAGCAGCCCGGTCTGGACACGTCCGTGGGTCTGCTCGGCTACGGCGGCGGTGGGGACCCTGGGGAGCCAGAGCTGGGCCCAGGCCCCAGGCGGGAGGCTGGGCGTGCGGGGACCACCATGTGGCGCCGCTGACACCCACCATGGTGGGGCCGACCGTGCAGTGGCCCGCGAGTGCTTTCCGGAGGTCCCTCTGCAGAGGACGCCAGACCCTCCATAGAGAAGAGCATCTTTGGAGGCGCCGCAGGGGTCTCAGGGAAAGGATAGAGCGACCCCCACCCCCCATAACAGGTCCCTCAGCCCTGCCCTCGCCCACCGCACCTGGCCCAACGGACCACCCAAGACACCAGCTCGCTCCTCCCCAAATGGCCCTCAGGACACCCTCACCCCGTGGCTACCTCCACCCACAGTCAGTTGCTCCTTCTTGCCTCCGCCCCACCCCAAAGTGGTGTGGTGACCTCAGGAAACATGGTAACAATTTTCGGTCAACATATGGCCCATCGATTTACATCTGAAGGGTTGAGGTTTTACTTGACAGTAGAGAATAACCTTAACAACAGCTAGCCCTTCAAGGTCCTGGATACCTTGCTCCCAAATTCCTTAGAGACCTAAGCTATCTCCAACCCCCATGAAGTAAGTGTGTAATCAGTCACTCCTCACAATCACCAGTGCACCTCTTTCTGCCCACAGGTCCTGTCCCTGCGCTATAATAAAAACTTTTTTGCACCAAAAAAGTCTCAGCCCCACATCACTAATACCCCTCCCCTCTGTGTGGCCCACTGCCCGTACAGACCGTCCCGCCTCTCTCGGCTCTGGACCCTCAGTGGCCACCTCTCCATACTGACCCCTAGCCTGAGGGGTGGGGGGGGGTGGTCAAAGTGCTTGGCAGTTGCTTCCCTTCTAGGGACCGGTGGGAAGAGTCAAGCACCAGGAGTCCTGGGACCTGGACTCCACGGCCTCCTGCTGGGTGTGTGACTTCTGCCCCTGCAGGCCAGGAAGACTTGAACCCTTGCTGGGTTCACTGCAGGGCGCGGGAGGACATGGCCTCGCCCCCAGCCAAGCCGGGGTGTCCATCCTGCTCATGCTGACCTCTACAGTACACGGTGGGGGTCTGGGACCTTGGAAGAAGAAATAGGGCCGAGGCGTGTCCGAGGGCTCAGCCAGTGGGACACAGGTCGAAGGCCCTGGCCTGTTCTCTGGGCCTCTCCCAGGCGCAATGGGGGAGTAGCTACTCAACGAGAACCCCCAGGCTGTGATCCCACTCCAACACAGGGACACACAAGGGCACAGGATACTAGGTGTGCTGGCCCAGCCAAGGGCAGGGGGAGGCTCTCCAACCTGCCCAAGGGTTCTGGGCAAACCCTGCTGAGGGGGACCTCCACAACAGGGCCCTCAAACAGTGTCATTGCAACATCTGTGAAATGAATCAGAAATCTGGGCTGTTTGGAGAAACAGTAAACAGACATTACAAATGTTAAAAGAAAAAAATTAAAGTGGTTTTTTTCACTTTCACAAAGTGAGAAGGAATGATGGGGCCTTTCTGAGTCAATGACACCTACAATAGAACCTGAAGCTGAGTGGGAGCTGTTCAGGCAAAGACTGTGGAGAGACTACGCCAGGCAGGGAAAGACGTGTCCAAGAGCCCTGGTCTTAAAAGGAGCTTGGCCCTGCAGGGGCCCCAAACAGGTCGTTGCGTTCGAAACAAGGCGAGGGAGGGAGTACGCAAAGCCCCTGGAAGGGATGTGGATTTTATAAGGGCGGGGGTCACCTCTGGTGGGTTTTTTGTTTTTGTTTTAAGATTTTATTTATTTGACAGAAACAAAGGGAAAGCAGGAACACAAGCAGGGGGAGTGGGAGAGTGAGAAGCAGGCTTCCCGCCAAGCAGGGAGCCCGATGTGGGGCTCGATACCAGGACCCTGGGATCATGACCTGAGCCAAAGGCAAACACTTAACGACAGAGGCGCCCACCTCTGGTGGGTTATAAGTGGAGTGCGGCAAAATGATCAGATGGACATTATAAAGGGAGCACTCTGGGGAGGGGAAGAGAGCACTTGTGTGGGAGGAAGAGTAGAAGTAAGAAGAATTGGGGAGCTACTGCAATGGTCCAGGTGGCAGATGAGGTGTCCAGGGCAAGGACAGTGGAATGTAGATGGAAAGAAGCAGAGGATTCAAAATGTGTTTTGGAGGCAGAATTGTGCCTGGCTGTGGGAAGAGGGGATGACGATGGTCTCAAGGGTTACACCCAGTTTTCTAGCGTGAGCCACTAGGTAGGAGAAGTGCCATTTACTTCAATGGAAGATTGAAAGGAGCATCTTCCAGGGAAGGGGTGACAAGGGGCCGAGAAAAGACAGCTTAGGTTGAGATGGCTGACACACAAATGAGGTACATACAGCCTATCGATGTCTCCTCAGAGCCCAGGCAGAGTCTCAGGAAGGGGCCAGAACTGTATGCAAAATCTTGAGGAGAAAAAGCAAAGTCCCAAATAAACGGAGACATATCCATGTTTATAAATCAAAAGGCTCCTTGTTAAAAGGTCTAGTCTCCCCAAATGATCTACAGAATCAGAACTTTAATAGAAATTCCAGCAGGCTTCTCTGTAGACACTGACCAGCTGATTTTAAATTTTATGTGGAAAAACAAAATTACCTAGAAAAGCCAAAAACAATTTTGAAAAAGAACAAAGTTGGAGGATTCATGCTATTGGATTCAAACTTATGTAAAGCTAAAGAAATCAAGACAGTGAGGTAGAGGGGAAAGAATAAGCAGAGCAATGCAACAGAATAGAGTCCAGAAATAGACCTCTACCTACCTACCTTTGTAGTCAACTG